GCCCATAAACAGCCTATCGCAACACAGTGTAGCATACTTATTCAGTAAGTGGGTATTCATTCAACAAAATTGAAAAAAAATGAAAAGTTATTTCAGTTCAAGCATTGAAAATAAAGTGTGAGATGGTAAGACTTAAGCCTACCAGGTGTGAATTGTACGCCAATAGTACTGAATGTAAATTTGTGTAAATAAGTCTAAAATGCGGTGCCAATGGTAGGTCAAACAAAAAATGTCTGGCCTAGACACAAATATAGGATACCTCTTAGCTGACCAGGCGTACGCAACCTACTTACAATACTTAAAATAATAGTTTAATTTATCTTCATGGTCTTTTTGTCCCTTGTTAATTAATTAAGTGGCTCAAATAATCATTTTTGATGAACTAAAAAAACAAATGTTCCCATTTGTTGTGATATTCACCCACGATCGACTCACATGAAGAGCTGCAGAGCAGCTACACTACAATGTCGTGATATTAGACATTGCCTTTTATGGGTAAATAGGTCATAATAATAATGATAATAAAATAATAAGGCTAATGATTATAATGTTAATGATGATAATTATGATAATGTTAAGTATGACGATGACGATGACGGTGGTCGATGCATCGATGGTGATGACAAAAACGATGATGCTTTATCAATTAATTAATAACCAAAATTATCGAACAATAATCAATCATTCAATCAATTTATATACCTCTCTCAGGAGAAAACATTCAGATTCAAAATAAAACTCAATAAAATATATTATAATACATACAAAATATATACAGTGTATGAATTATATCCACTCAAAATGGTCGTTAAATTAAATTAAGAACAGCGTTAACTAAAATTAAAAGGTTAACACTGAGACTTAGGGAGTGGAGTTACGTGTTCCGTGACAGGAATTGAACCCACAACGCTGCGATTGGAAGGCAAGCATCTTAACAACCACCAAGCTATTCAAATCCACTCCATATATACCTGTAAATATTTTATAAAACATGAAGATGATTATCACAATGATGATGATGAGACGAATTCGGTGTTAGCAACGATGGTGATGATAACGATGGTGATGACAATGGTGATAATGATGATTATGCTGGTAGTAGCACCGATGGTGATGATGATTATGACGATGATTACAGCTCACTATATTGTTTGAACAAATTAAACACTTTCCCATAATTCCAACGTCCTTTTTAATATCATATTATTCTGTCAATATTTCAAAAACAGAAAGCTGTATAAAACACGGACTTCAATCAACCACAGACGGCCATTCCACGATGACGCATTTTAAAGTCATAGGTAAAATATATGTCAAGTCATCATATGATAACAACACCTTGCTAAAATCCCCCTTCCAGGATCGATCGAACAACCATTATTGCATAGCGATATACAAGTCGTTAACAAAGCCGAATATGCTGATAAGTTTTGTTAACTTTGTCAGACAAGTTACTGTTACCGAAAGATTGCTGATATCTTCTGTACACAGAAACCGAACAATGTACGCTCGATACACCGAACAAACAATGCAATATGGATCCATTAGCCTCTAACCATACTGCCCTACAATGACAAAAGGAATCAACGGCTGTTTGCATTGCTTTGAGAAGTAAGGAATATCATGTTGATTTTGTCCCTTGCTTCCTATTCTGCTGGTTTTTACTGTATTTTTAGTCCCTTACTTCCTTTTTGTGTTGCTAATTGCTTGTTAATTAGTGGGATTTGAGCTCCTTGTCCACCGGCATTTTGGCATCCCAGACCCTTTGTAACCTGGCCATTTGCTGGAAGAAAATGAGTCTAGTGTAGCAACGATTCTAGTGTGGCACAAGACCGGATGGTATTGGGCCTAGACGACCCACTCCCCTCTTCCCCCACACCAAAGGTAATAATAGGCGAGGTTCCGCTGCTGAACAATGAAAATTTTGCGAAATACGTTAGCATTGAAACTAAAAGTTGGGACTCCATTTTATGATAAACAAACATACATTCTGGTATACTATTTTGATGCTAACCAACGTGACCACTGCTTGGGTATTTACCCAAGATCTTGGGTATTTTGCTTGGTACAATAAAAAATGGTTTATAAATTGAACTAAAAGGGAAACTATACATGAGAAAAACACGGTTGTTTTTTTTTTTTTTCAAATTCTAAGCTTGGGCAATTTTGAGCAATTTTTGCTGAATCTTCGGTAATTTCGTCCCAATCGCTGAGTATATCAGAAATTGTGAGTGGTCACGTTGATGCAAATCCTTTCGCGCTTTACCGAAATATTCCTTCCAGATCTCTGCAGACATCTGACGGTCGGTAAATCGACAAACATTTATAGTTACTTACTGAAAATTATATATGAAAACTGTGGAATAATCTTCCTATCTCCATCCGAAATGCTTGTAGTACCGAAGTCTTCAAAAAACTCTTAAAAGCTCATTTATTTCCTAAATAATCCTCTTCCTACAATAAACCTTTTCTAAGCGCCTTGTATCCTTTGGCAAAAGGCGCTATATAAATTTCTATATTATTATTATTATTATTATATGATGATGATTCAGGCTAAAAAGACAGCATCTTTAAAATTATGCTTATTATAACCTATAAGTGTAACCATTACTGTACTTCAATTAAATTCCTATTGGACTTGGGATATGTTGAAATATAGGTGAAGAGTCAATGATGCACATGGGCTGATAAATAGCATTGTTAACAAGTCTCATGATGTTTGTTAAACTTGTTATCTTGTTGTTATCACCAGTAAGTACATAATGAGCTTTTATTAGCCGACGGATGCAATAACTGTTATTGTATAGTCAATGTATGATCGCACTCCATATCCGATAAAGATGATATATTGTCAGCAAAACGTCATAACAGTAATACTGATGAAAACCGCATTATACGAAATATCAAATTTGTACACGTACTAAGCATATTATCAAGTGATCTTTCACCCAGGCCACACAATTATAGGCCTTAAAGTAATGCATACATAAGGCTGTGTTACGATCCCAAGGCATTGATAGCAGTACTTATTGTCATTCCCTCGTAGTTTACTTAAGTTGAAGTTGAATAATTTCATTATTTGCAAATTTGCCGTTTTTGGTCCAACCACCATTAGGCCTATTGAAGTAATTTTATACTCCAAGATCAAGATTTCTTTTTATGTGCACAAGTACAACGACTTGAAAATCAGGGTTTGTCGGGCGGACGGAAATTAAAATTTTTGCTAACCATCGTTTAATGCTCTGTTCAGCAACATATGGGTCAAGAAGAAATATTGATGTATCCGCAGTCGCTTCAGATAAAAAGCAAAATTGATGGTAGCAAACAAAAGTGCAGACAAAGGAATGCTAAAAACTGAGCCCCGATGCATGCAGTGGCGCATCTGGGGGTGAATAGGGTGGCTAACCACCCCCCACCCCCCTTTGTGACCTAAAAAAAAATAGTCACTCGTCTTGTGTGTGTGCTTCTCATGTATACATGTTACATGTAGTAGGCTACTCTCGTAAAACATACACTTTCTATTTAAAAGCTTAACTTCTTTTCAGATTTCATCAAGAGCGTCTAGCCATAAACTAATTCCAGAAAATCTCACTGATGGAAGGGGATGCTTCTCCCTAAACCCATGATCAAAGAGGGACAGGGGACACGTCCCAAAATATTGTTAAGGGGGTGAGGTTGGTCCCTTACTTTTCTTCCGCAATGTAATAATCAAAGTCAAGAAGATGCCTGAAAATTGTTGAAATGAACTGCATAAATGACCCAGGTTTTAACGAAAGTGTGCTGTACAACCGGTACTCTATCTCTGCCCACAAACATCTGAACTCATAATACACGACTCAAGTGCGCGTGATTTTATTATAATTTTAGAAGTATGAGAAAAAGCGTGTAATAATAATAATAATAATAATAAGATTGGTTTTCGGCACATGGTAAAATAAATTAAAAATACATCAATGACAATTGAATTTTATTTTCAGTGGAACATCACAGCGAATTATTTGATCGATGATGATGAATTTTATTATAAAAGAGTGTAATTTCCGGTAATCTACTAATTCCCCAAATGTTCCCACCTCAGCCCTTGTGTGGACTAATGGCTTCGAAGAAGTAGGTAGGCCTAAATTAAGCACATCAGAGACAATGATTTTAATATTTGTTTTCTATAGTACATCACACATATTAGATATCTATGGTTGCCGAAAATTATGAGAAATTTGTTGGCGCTTCACTTTTACTATATAGGCATAATGGTGATGTGATGACGATTGATTTTACCATATAAAAGTGTCATTTCTGGTAATATAGAGCTACTATTTCCTAAAATTTCGCACTTCAGGACCAACCATGGTGGGCCTGAGGTGAGTGTGGGCTTACCCTGTCCCCTTCCCCTCACGTTTCAAAACAGCACTAATCTATAAACAAAATCAATGTTTTCGTCCTTCTGCACCTTCTTCAATAAGTAATAGTGCCACTCCCTGCCGGAGTATTTGTAGGCAAATATGGGCTTATAAAATGAATGGGAAAAGTGTAATATTCGTGATCCAAAAAGGCAAGTAAAATGGATTTCCTGTTTTCTTTCCTATATCTTTTATATGAACCTGAATGCAGCTCGCTAAGCTAACATATTACCTAAAGTGTTTAGGCTTCATAAAGTACTGTACTGCAAATGCATCAAGAATCAATACCGTTTGTAGGCCTACCCCTGCGCTTTTGTAAACAGTCGCATCGACTGATTAGATGGTTTTTAAAAAATCCATACTTTAAATTTATTATCAAAAAGTATTGCAATAATAGGCCGAGTTATTAACAACAATTTTTATTAAAAAAAAACAAAAACAATTTAAACAAATGCCAAAACGAAAAGAAACTTGTCTAAACTGGTACGTCACTCCCCAACATGGCGTCAGTGGCCTCACTTTTTTTCTGTACAATGATTGGCCGATGAGAAATCCATGCTTAGACTTGCAGGAAATCCCTTACATTTTTTTCTCATTCTGGACAGCACCACCAACGAGCAAGTTAATTTTGAAAATCGAGTATGAGACGCCAAACAAATTACTTATGGAGCGCACTACACGCAATAAAGAGTAACCAAAAATTAAATAGGAGGTCAAAGGTCACATAGTCTGTTGCTTTTTGTAATCGCACTTCAATACCTTTTTTCTTCTTCTATACTGTATTTCATTTGCTTTTAAAATTTTTTTTAATCTTTTATCCTTTTTCTTTTTCAATAAACACAATTTTGAAACACAGAATATTAATGTACAGTATAGTATTAAAGTATATTAATTCTCTTAATACCAGAATTCCCTTTAATTATATTAATCAGTAGAAATTTATGCATATAAAACATACAAAAATGCATATAATAAATTTGAAAAAGAGCAGTTTATGGGTGAAAGTGTTTGCTATAATTATATCATTATCAATTCAAATTATGTTATATTATTCATCTTTATATAAATACTGTAATAACAATAATACTAATAATAATAATATATCAATAATAATAATAATAATAAGGCCAAAAAAACAATTGCTTGTTTACCCTCCGTGACCGCCCCTAACTCACTGGAAAAAATAGGGGCGGAAAAACAAAAAAACTTCAGAAAAGTTTTTTTTTAAAACTTTTTTCTTAACAAATTAAAAAAAATATGAGTGAATTTATCTTTATTTTTTGCCAGATGCTCTACAAATTAGTCTAAAGGTGTTGTCTGATGTAAGATATTGCCATTCTAGGTCTCTGTGGGTTATTTTTATTCCTTCTAATGAGTATTTTAAAAAAATAAATAAATTAAAAAAAAACTTTTTCCACCTGCCCCTATTTATCATTTTTTAACAAAAGAAGGGCAAACAAACAATTTTTTTGTCCTAATAACAATAAAAATACCGACAATAATAACAATAACAACAATTTATCAACAATACAAAATAACAATTTTATTAAATGCCAAAATGCTAATAAACAATTTTGATTTCATTCCTGATGATGACATAATTAATGTCGAATACTGAATCCCGACACGATGGCGTGCATTTCGATACTTGGAGTATGAATTATACTATCAAATTTTGATATCTTATAACAAAAATAAATATGTGCAAAAGAGCAACTTTAGTGCAGACTTGTCATGGATTGCCCCTTGTCAGCAAACCAAGTTCATTTACACATAAATTACACAAATATACCATAAAAACTTGAATTGAAGGCTCTGGGATGCTTCTTTCTTTTGCGAAATTTGGATTGGGATTCTTTTCAAGATGGGCTTCCTTTCGTGTCTACTTTTGCAAAGTAAAGAAAGGGCTTCATTTCAAAATGAATGGACTGTAAATTTTTGGACATCAATCTGTTTCATGGAGTGTATTAACTGGATTGAAACTACTGTATAAATCAAGCATGTTCATAATTTATTTTTTTTCATAAAAAAATTCATGTACAGTGTATGTACTTTAATACAATGTATCTCGAAAAGAAGCCCATTGGATCTTTTCGAGATGGGCTTCTTTTCGCAGGGTCCCATACTTACAGTCGTCCTATTGCCCGAGACGACCTAAATTGTGTAAGGACGAGTAAAATACTGTAAGTAGAATTCTCATGTGATGACTATTATTTTTATAAATATTTTAAGGGATATTAATAACGTAATGTACTTATAATGTGTTGTCCAATCTTGTTACTTTTGTTTCAAATACAAAACTTCCTCACTGTAAATGTTTCAACTTCACAATTTGCACAAAAAAAAATGTTAGGGCAAGCTAAAATTGTTTAGACTAGTACAATATGACACAAGCCTGCCTTGCATACCACTAAGAGAAAATCTTAGTATGGGACCCTGTTTCGAGGCTACTTTTGCAAGCTAAGGTGGGGGGGGGGGGGTGTCTATTCGAGATGGGTTTCTTCTGGAGATTAAGCTCACTGGGCTTCAATTCGAGGTTTTTTTCGAGGTTTGGTGATTTGACATTCGGATTGACTGCAGTATGTAATTGGTTAAGCTCACTCTAAGCATTCTCTTATTTGACAAAGAGACTGAAAGTTAGTCTGTAACTGGGCGAGGCTGCTGGATATACAACTCAAAGTTCCATCCTGAAAGCAACAAAAGGACAAATTTTACGTTAGTAGATTGTTGAAAATTACTGACAGTTAAAGCTGCAATATCAATTTTAGTATTAGCTTTAATAAATTCAATGGATTCATTATAAAAATAGTGTAATTGATTAGATGAAACAAGAGCACAGTACTGAAAAGAGAATTAAAATATAACATTCAAAGAATGTCAATTAAGACAAAACATCAATTGTCGGAGAAAAAAACTGTTCACAGCTATAAGATTGCTTTTTGTCTATCCGGTCATTGACAATGTATTTTCTTGTACTTTTTGTAATTTGTATGTATTTTAAGGTTTTGGCAAAAAAAAAAAAAAAAGAAAGAAAGAAAAAAAAAAAGGAAATGAAGGAAGTTTTATGTAAGTATCAGTTTAAATTAAACATATTCAGATAAAATTTAGTAAAAATTCAGAAATTTTGAATTAAAATTTATGAACTGTTTCATAATTATTGCAAACCTAAAAATATTGTACAGGATTCATAAAACAAGTCAATATTTAAAACAAAGTTAAAATACAAGAAAAAAAATATAAAAACAATTATTATTATTTTAATAGTTTAAAGATTATTTTTGTTTAAACTTTTCTTATAAACAAGTTACAATTTGAATACATAAAAACATCAAAAAAAAAATTGTAATAATGCCTATACTATCAGTTATTTACAAAAACTTTTTAAAATTACAACTCTGAAAATAGTACAATACAATGGTGATATACTGTATATGTACTGTACAGAATAACAATAAATTAAATGAGTGGGCAGGGACACAAAAGCAAACTAAATCACTATAATAAAAAAGGCTGAACCTTGTGCCATGTAATTTATAAATAATAATAATAATAATAACAATAATAATAATAATAATAATACAGTTAAACTCGTTGAAGTCGAATAATTTCTAAGTCAATTTTATTTTACATGCCAAATTGCTGTGTTTTCCATTAATTAAACAACCTGTAAGGTGAATTTTATTTAAGTGGAACAATATTTCAATGGAATTTTGGATTCGACCTTAGGCAGGTTCAACATAATAAATAATAATAATAATAATATTTCTTTCTTTATTTTTCTTGAATTGAAAATTTTTTTAATTATTTTGATTTTTTTAAATTTTATTTTATAACTTACTGTAGATTCTTTGCTGTATTTGAAATAAAAAATTAATTAATTAATGAAAAAATAAAACATTATAAATAATAAGGCCAATTATAATATAATCAAACAAAATTAACAAAATATCCGCAATTCGTTTTCCTATTAAATTTGAAAATTAGCTTTAGAAAATGTGCCTCAAAAACATGATTACATTAGGTAACTACTAGGAACTTTTGCTAAATATATAAATTAAACTTATCAGGAAAATTGAAACCCAATTTTTGTCAAAATATCGCTTCAGATATATTTCCTTAAATATATCAAATTGACCCAGCGTACCACAAGACTCATTTTGTCACGACAGCTCACAATTAGGTAAAAATATCACTTACTAATTGGGAATCTTTAGCACTGAATTCCTTACTCCATTCAATATTGTTTAAATTTGTTGCAAGGTCAGCCAAACATGATGCTATCAACGGAAACATTTCTTTGACGTGCCTATGGTATACTGCTTCAATCTTGATGTAGTCGCCAACGAACGGTTGCTGAAGGCAGGTTATTAGCTGGTGCTTAGCTTTTACTACCGACTGCAGATGCGAAGCCATCTCTTTCAGCTGCGAAATTTTAGATTCTTGTAAAAGAAAACAACATTTAAATTAAATTAATCAATCAGTTCTAAAGTAAGCTTAAACAAATTCAGTTACAACACTCTTTCAGCTACAAAATTTTAGATTCTTGTAAAAGAAAACAACATTTAAATAAAATCAAATAAATCAATCAATTACAACATTTACGTTGTACAGTCATTGATAATTCAAACTACTGTACACAACTGGAAAAGCAAAAACCATACATAAAGAAACAATCAGGCAAAACAGACAAATTAGAAGAGCATTGTGGATAAGCACCTTGAACATTTTTTAAGTGGATATGTGAGCTGTAATTCATATATTTTATCATCATCATCTGAGGCCCACAGACCTCCTGACAGGACAGCAGGCAGAGGGCGCTATTCAAGCCTGAATAGCATCACTACCAAAATCATCTAGGTCTCAGATTCATTGCCCGACAAAGATCCACTGATAGTGGAACAAAATATAGCAGTACGTAAATATATTTTACTTTACTTTATATTAAATAGGGAGTAGTAGAGCTTTTTGTGTTTCAATGTTTTTTGTTTTATGAAGTGTTTCTCAGTTTGTTATTTTCTTTGTTGGGATCTGTGGAGGACCAGGGATTTATCTCTGAGCAGTCCCCCAGGATAAACAACAAAAGAAAAAGAGAAAGAAATTAAGAATTCTACAAACAATGTTCGCCTATTTTCCTACTAAAGTATGTAATTCAGAACAAGATCAATTTTATACGAAATCATTCACATCCTACCAGATATCCAATTATGCCCCTGGGTAGGCCTAGAAAAATGTGGATAAAAGTGTTTTGATCAAAATCAATAGGGTTGAACTCATGATCTGTCAGCTAGAAGCCCAACTACTTACCTCTAAGCCACAAATCTTGAAATATACGTAACACATATTATTATAGAGGAAAAACTACTGTAGTGCTGTTCTCATTTGTAAATATCATATAATTTCCAATAAAATATGAAAGTAAAATTTACCAAGTAAGTCTGCATGGGTTATATCGCTTGTCTCTTTATCCTGCAGTCTGCACTGAATGTCTAATGAAACCTGAAAAAGAATTGTTTTTAACAATGTTAATTGAAGTTATGGTATGCATTCATATTGTCATTATTTTTTAACCATTTTGTTTGAAGTTTCAATTTATGTTTATATATATTCCACTTGTTAATACCATACAGTATTTATGCTTTCCAGCCTTTTAACCAATTTGAAGTACATATATTTTAATTATTACTGTAATAATATTAATAACATTAATATTAATAATAAACAGTGATAATAATAAACAACAACAACAATAATAAATAATATTAATAATAATAATAATAATAATAATAAAAATATATTTCTTCAATGCATTTCACATAAAAATTAATAAATAACAATACATGTTAACAGTCTCTCTTAGACTTACTTTGTCAAATTCTTTTCCTTGCCTAGTCAATTCTCTTAGTTGCTGAATTAACTGTAATGAGTGTGAATTTTCCGGAAGGTGTATTTGTCGCTCCATTTCCATAGAAATATAACTTGCATCATTAATTCTGAACTAAAATAAATACACACTGAATTATGCAAATACCAACATGCTGATTGGTTGACTTGGCTTTACCCTAAACTTAAAACTAACTCTGCCTATCTTAATGCATTACAGCATGACGTTATAGGCGTAAATGCAGCCAGTTTGTAAAAAAAATCTAAATTTAAAAAAATCCCTCTTAAACCCTTCTCCCAGCTCGAAGTCTCCCTGTTGGACAGCTTAGTTTAGTAGGCCTAGCCCCCCCTCCCCAGAAAATATATCCTTGCCTAGGCCTAGAGCTGCCACTGATAACAAGCAAGGACCAATACTACTTAGCTAGGCCAAATCTAAGCCTAGTAGGCCTAGGTAGGCCCTAGCCCTAGCATAGGGCCTAGGCCTATTTAAATTAAGTCATATAGGCCTAGTCTTGGCCCAAAAAAGCCAAGCTCCTAGCCCTAGGCTAGTAGCTAGGCCTAGGATAGCCTACCTACCTAGCCCTTCCATAGGCCTGTAGCTGGGGAAGGAAGGAACGTTCGCCTAGGCTGGGTGCTAGGCATACTCTTCGACGTCTCCCTACCGTACACACAATACCTCCTGCAGTACTACACTAGGCCTAGGCCCAGCCTAGACCTGGCTGGCAGGCATACGCTGGCACCATACGCTAGGCCTAGGCTCCTGAGTCCTAAGAAGGTTACCTTACAAAATAGAAAGTCACGTACTGTTCCTTGGTGGGGTAAATGTCCAGTTCGCTCGGCAAGTCGTAAAATTGCTCCAAGATTTGGAGACCCTGAATTGATATCCCATGGATTACTCATTTTACGTCTACCTCCGCCGACAAATCATTTCAAAACAACCGCCGAGTGAATTGACACCGCCACCCACCACCAGCAGAAGCCACCTTAGAGCAGACGGCTGTCGTGTGAATAAAATGCGGTTGTACAGTCATATCGTGCTGCAGACTAAAAAATGGACATTTGGTGGATGGACGGGCCAAAATTCCTTTTGTCCCATTTTGGCCAAAATGATTTTGAATCAGCAAGGAATGCGTTTGAATAATATTTGAACAATTTCAAATCCTTGGCTTATTATTATTATTTTATTTCAATTATTATTTAATTTATTGTTAACACTTTAGCAAAATTAATGCTTTTGATATTTTAATACGCACCCGCGCAAAGTTAAAGTGAGGGCACGCATATGTGTGACAAAAATCATGTAACAAGGGTCGTATTTTTCCCTAAACAGCGTTTTTAGGGTCTGACGATAATTCTCTCCTGTCATCAACTTCATCATGATCATCTACGCTGTCATCATTATCCTTGTCAACATGTCATGATGTTCTCATCATCGTCAACTTCTATACCATCATCATTATCAAATGAAAGTTTTATTATGCACAGTGGCGTATCTAGAAGTCTTGAAATGGGAGTGATGAGAGGGGTGCGGACAATTCTGCCCTCCCCCACACACCCCCCTCCCCACGCAGACACAATATACAGTACCACAATAAACTAAAAATTATAATGAATACATTTATTCCATTAAGTGAACACACTCCCTCTGCAGACATTAATACATAACATATCGAGTTTAGTAATAGTGACTGGTATTGCCCGCATTACTAAATCTATTATAATGGCTTTTCCTAAAATATATAGTATAAGTGACTTGTAAGTTGTTACAAGATTTAAGCACAAAGTCCTTTCAGGCATTTTGGTCTCCTGTATACATTCTTTTTTTTTTTTAGTCACATAAATTATTTCAAAAATATTAAGCAAAATTTGATATTTAACTAAAGAGGCAAACCAGTTACCTCTTCTCCATTGCAACATGGATAATAATAATTAATAGATACACCTGATTTCTATTACAATGATTGTAAAATCTAAAATCAAATTCTAAATTGTCAATCTATCTTTCAAACAGATAGATCTAATGTACTTAAAAATAACTTTTCTCTAAAGAAAACTACAGTATTATTTATTTAAGCCCAGCACATTTTATGTATCGGCCGACTCAAACTTAAATAATCTATTTTCTTTATCTGTATATTTTCTGTAAATTTCCATGTACTTTCATTGACAGAATGGACGATGGTAGTATATGCATTAACGATTCGAGTCCACATAACGATATCAAGAATAGAACAGTGGTACACATAATGACATCATGATGCACAAGATATCATCAACAAAGACAGCAGTCCAGATGATGATATCAACAATGAGAGCATGGTGCACATGACATCAACAATGACACCATGGTGCACATGATATTAACAAAGACAGCATGGTGCACATGATATCATCAACAATGACACCATGGTGCACATGCTGATTTCAATATGCCACCATGGTGCATATGCTGATATCAACAATGACACCATGGTGCACATGATATCAACAATGACACCATGGTGCACATAATATCAACAATGACATCATGGTGCACATGATGATATTAACAATGACAGCATGGTGCACATGATATCAACAATGACACCATGGTGCACATGATGATATTAACAATGACAGCATGGTGCACATGATATCATCAACAATGACACCATGGTGCACATGCTGATATCAACAATGACACCATGGTGCACATGCTGATATCAACAATGACACCATGGTGCACATGCTGATATCAATATGCCACCATGGTGCATATGCTGATATCAACAATGACACCATGGTGCACATGATATCAACAATGACACCATGGTGTACATGATGATATTAACAATGGCAGCATGGTGCACATGATATCATCAACAATGACACCATGGTGCACATGCTGATATCAATATGCCACCATGGTGCATATGCTGATATGAACAATGACACCATGGTGCACATGATATCAACAATGATACATTGGTTCACATGATGATATCAACAATGACACCATGGTTCACATGATGATATCAACAAGGACACATGATTGGGACTACCTCTTGGGAGTAACTCTTGATGCAAAGCACAGGGAAAAAGTCTCAACCATTCAACAATTTAGGAAACAGAATTCACCACTATACTCCAACCATTTTGAATTTGTATATCTGCAATGACATAGTATCCATACCCCCAAAAAGAGATCCACATATTATCATCTCATAAAATAATAGTACACTTAATTTGTACTTGACATATTATATAAGGTAGTCTGCTTCTAACATTTGAATTATACAGGGCTTGCCAATCCAAAACCACAGTGAGAAACATCTATTCATACTCTCCACATTATAAGCGTCACAATGATGGGTCACTGACTGGAATCAAGTTACTATTGCCAAAGTTATGAGTAAAAGCATTTTGACTTTTCTCCTCTTCTCAGGCTAATTACTTAGTTTAATAATTAGCGACAGTACGCTTGTTTTAGGGTGACAAGCCTTGTATATTCTGCTCAAATGCTATTAAGTCTAAGCTCATTATTCCCAAATAATAACAATATGACATGCATTTGCCAAGAGCCCATACACATATTCAGATTTCTTAAGTCCTCTCAACACTATCAAATTTCCTTTAACAAAAAACTGTTGTATGCCCATATATAGTAATGATGTACCTATATATGGTAATGATGACCATATTTAGGCATGTCACATGTTTTTGTCAAATACAATTTCATAGTGTGGACGGGACTTAAAGGCTCTGTCCACACCATAAAATTCTCATGCGACAAATAATTGTGATATGCCCAATATTTGTTTGTAATACCACATCGTCATGCCCATATATGGGCACATCATGACTATATATGGGCATATCACATGAAATTTGATAGTCGAAACAGAGCTTTAGAAAAACTAATCTGAACACCTAAAGATTGAGTTTTTGAGTAATACTTGGTTTATACACCGATGAGGGTAGGAGCCCAAATCACGCTCCTTTTCGACTGTAGAATATTATGCTCTAAAAATGTGTATATTATCAGCATTACTATATATTTTATTACTATAAATTATATGGTATTAAATATTAAGACATTATAATAACATTATTAAAATATTAATATGCTTCATGCCCTGTAAATGGTACAAAAAGGTTAAACTCTGTCGATACTATCCAATTTTGTTGTATGCCCATATATAGTCCTGATGTGTCCATATATGGTCATGGTGTGCCCATATATGGCCATGATATGAAGTCATCATTGGGCATGTCACATGTTTTTGTCATAAAATCTCATAGTGTGAACACGGCTTTAGGCGACATGATATTACAGTATATCATGTCCACTATAAAAATGGAAATAAAATAAAACCATCAGAGGAAAAATAATGAAGCTATCACAAAAATTATGATGGAACCACATCACAGGGAATGTGATAAAAATGTCACAGTATTAGAAGCGACAAAACCATAAGGTGAAATATATTATGAAATCATCACAGAATATGTGATGAAACACCACAGAAAATGTGATGAAATGGTCGCAAGAAATGTGATGAAACCATCACAAAAAATGTGATCACAGGAAAAGTGATGAAAATATCACACAAAATGTGATGAAATTAATATCCTTTAAAATAGGATAAAATCATCATAGGTAATGTGATGAAACCAACCCAGGAAATGTGATGAAACCATTACAGGAATGGTGATGAAACCATCACATGTGATGAAACTACTGTATCGCAGTAAGTGTGATAAAACCACTATACTAAGTGTACAGTTTATATATGAAATTAATCGTTTATGAGATTTTCCTGACTGTTTCTAAGAATTTCAAAATTTTTCTCCAAAACACAAATATGCTGTGTTCTCTCTAAAATTGCTTCACAAAGACCCTTACCCCTTCATATAATTACTTCACAAAGACCCAAGCCCCCTCCCATAATTGCTTCACAATGATGGAGTAGAATATTATAAGTACCAGATAGCAATAGAACAAAGTCAGCTATAAAGCCACATCAAGTTTTATGTGATTTGCCATTTGTGATAAAACATCATTATAACCATATATGGGCATACCACAAAATGAGACACATTTTGGGGGAATCAATCCCGTAAATGCTCGAATAAGCGCCGCGGAACGTATACAATTTTTGGAGGCTTCCGTGTGGCGCTCATTTGAGAGGCGTGCTTATTTGGGTGCGGAACTTATAAAAAAAATATTGCTGTGGGGCTTTCCATGCCCGTTCTCCTGTTACCTATTTCATGTTATTCCCGTAGTTCGGTAGGCCTATCATAGGTAATCGTAAATAAATGTTTATAAAGAAATGCTTGTGTCTTCATTGTGTTATCATTTAAACACTGTATATCCGAGAGCGGCACTTAACGGTAATAATCATGTTTAGTGCAGTGCTTATTCGAGCACGGTATTAAGATAATAAAAAAAATATGTTTTTAAATAATTTTATGCTTATATTTTATGATAGTTTACTTTTTAAGTTATTTTTCTTACTGTAAAAGTCTTCTGTATGCATAATCTTTACTTCTAGATGTATTTGCACAGGTTAAAGTTCAGCTTTGAGGCGGATTTTCTCAAAACCAACTAAAATTCAAATGCTCACATCTCTGGATGATACATCTACTAGGAAAATGATTCAAAGACAAAATTAAAGCTTATAATATGATGTACCCTAATATACTATACACTCAATTGGTTATTCTCCAACCATGTGTCATATTTTGTGGCGAGACCTCACATATGGGCAAACCCTAAATTATATCCTAAATAAACCTGTAGTGTAAACAGACTATAAAATCTTTGTTATTTGAGCTGATTAAAAATTAAATATATGCATGTGTCAAGTCTAATTATTTATTTATTTATTATTATTATCATTATTATCTTTATCATGCTTTTACAACCCTACTAATACTATACCACTGACACAATGCAATTATTATACACAATGGTTAAGTGTTTGCCATATTTCATTGTCTTTTAGAGGTACAAGGTTCTCACACACTGATATCCTTTATCAATACTTGCAGTATCAGGCTCCCTCAGTATATATTTTGTCTAATGATACTTCAGGATTGTCTATAGATACTCCAGAACCATCTGCAGCAACTGAAGAAATAAAGTTATTGGTACTCAAGGATCTGTTTATGGTAGAAAAGTAAATAGCTGTTGAGATAAAAAGAAAAACAAAAACACATGTATTTCTCAATTCAAAGTTACTTCAATTTATTTTACTTCAGACAAAAGTTTATAAACACAACAGCATAATAGTAACAAGAAGATGATAACAAGTGCAAAAG